TGCAAGGCAGACACTGAGCGGAGACAAGAACAGGGTGGGCGGGGCAGGCAGGGAGAGCACCGGGCCGAGGGACTGACCCCGAGACCCGAAGGAGCTCCAAAGGACTTGGGACAGGGTGGCAGCTGTGCGCGCGCAAGGGGCAGGGGGGAGGGGCTGAGGTCATCAGTGCACAATGGTCAGGCCCGGAGTTTCAGTCCTTGTGACCTTGTGACCTTTGAAGAACGACAGAAGGAATCGAGGGGCGTCGTGGCGACCGGGTTAGGTTTATCTGCTGCTCTGGCTCCTTGCTCCTAGACCTAGGGGCGGGCCCCTAGTTATGCGGCGTGCAGGCGACGGGAAGCGCTTGTCGTGAGCAGCAGCGATGAGATCAGTTTGCATAACCACAGCGTCGGGGTGGGGAGTGCAGCCAGTCACGCAGCCACCACCCGACCCGGCTCAGGCTCTGCCCAGGTGGCAGCGGCTGCCCCACGGATTTGGGTAGCTGGAGGTGGTCCTGCCCCTTCAAGGCCAGGGCCTGCTGGGGTGTCAGAATCATTCCAAGGGAGTGTCCAGGAGGCAGTGGGGAGGAGGGGAGCCACACACACACAAAAAACCCCCGCAACCTTCAGGGTTTGCAGACTGGATTCTATTAGGCAGGTTTCCAGACACAGTGAAAACCACTGTGCCTAGTAGGTAACTTCAAAGACCACTATCATGGAAATCAAAGGTCATTAAAAGGGGCCTTTAATTTGTTTATATTATTTCGCCTAGCAGTCTTTCCTATGTGTGCATGAAATTTAATTTATGCATTCAAGTCTGGAATCCTGCTTTAGCAAGGGAAACAATTATGAATTCAGTTAAGAGTATGGGTACAAACGGATTACTTAAAAGAACAATGAACTGGGAAAAAAAAATTCCAGCTCCTAACAAGAAGGCCATTACATTCAGCTTTTCACGGTTTTGAACATCTTGTGCGGGCTCAACAATAATACGTGGAGGAAGCTTCTAATTAGGCATTTAAAACGCTAGCATTTACGCCAGGAAAACGTCAAGAATGCCTTATGTTATAGACATGTGAATACCATCTACATATATAAGAGAGTAAGTAGTGTATCCGTCAACTTTTTGTATTTCACTCATTTAGTATACAATCAGTTCACTGGTAGGTCTGTCAGTTATGAAGCAGGATTAAATACCATACAAATTGAGACCTTGAATTTCATAAGATTCTTCTGTAGATTGTAATGTTCATGTGGTGTGTGTTCAATAAAGACGAACCTAAGTGCCTGGCACATGACATCAAATTAAAATCTTGAATGAATGAATGAATGAATGAATGAATGAATGTGTAAAGGATACCCTCTGATGAGTTCAGCTATATACTAAAATAAGTGAATCCTGTCTCCCCACTTCCAATTCTTATGATTCTGGTAAAGAATAAATAAGACTCCCAGCATTCCATCCCGGGGGGTGGGGAGCAGGGCAACCATTACCACAGGTGCTTTGAGATGTTTGAGGAAGAAGGTATATAGTCAACTATTACAAACTTTTAAAAAATGCAAAAGGATAATGTTTAAAACTGTGCTGCCAATATTATTTGTATAGGGTTTATCAAGTACTGGTATATGGTATAAGAGACTATGTATCATTACATAAAACATTTGATTTATGGAACTTCATAACAAATATTTGACAAATATTGTGTGCAATGGAGATTTGAAATAACAAGTATTATCATACCTATACATTAATAACATAATTGTATATATTAGTAATTATATATTAGTAGACTAATTGTATTTGTGCCATTTTCTAAAAGAGTTGAGAACTTTGGCCTATGAAGTATCTAGTAGAAAACTAATTTTTGATCACTCTTTTCTTGATGCATACAATCTTGAAGGCAAGAGACCTTCTAGATATAATGTCCTGCTGCTGAATGCCTGAACATCTAGGATTAGGAATTTATTGGGCCCATTGAGACTGACTGTGTGGGGCATTGTTAAAGTTGGGCATAGTGCTATAGAGAGACAAACCCGATTGCTTAATGTTGAAATGGTCTCTATTTAAATGCAAATTGTATTAGGAATGCTAATGCCTTGCACACATCTTTGTGTAAATGTAAAAACCTTGTCTTGCTTTTGGTAGAGGACCCTTGAGAAGAAAATGACAGTCAACAGAAAGGGCTTTCCTGAAATGGAACGAAAGCTCCAGATAATGCAGTTAGCCAATTTTAACTGGAATCAGAAAGCAGATACTAGACTTTAATCAGTCTCTTGCATTTAGAAAATCATAAGGCAGGGCTGGGATTTGGCTCACTGGTAGAATTGCCCATAGAGTGCTTTGGACTCGAACTTAAATCTAAAATATCATATAAAGGCAAAAACACATCATACTTTCTGTCTTTCTCCTCATCTAAGCTACCTTATTTTTCTTCTTGTCCCGTGTCATCACTTTAAAGCTATTTGGCCCTTTTTTGCCAGGGTCCTACATTGTGGTTCACTTCACTGATTGCATACTGACACCTGAAGAGGAGATGGGTAGATCTCCATCCCCAACTTACCCTGACAAGACAGGTACTTTGTATCCTCCTGGAAAGGGATGCCTTTCTCTAATGTGTCTTTCTCTAAGCCTCCTGAAACTTTCAGCAGCACTATTTGTCCTCAAGAACTAATCTGCTCCTTCTGCCCTTTGACATGCATTTAGTTCCCAATTGCAGTTAACAGTATTGCTCTACAATGAGTGGTGAAGATGGTGGAGCCTGGTGATGTTTAGGCACCCAGGCTGATGGAGCTGTGAATCCATTGATGTCACTTTCCAAGGTATCATTATGAAGAGCAGCCAAGGCATGACAATCATGTAGAATATAAGAGAGAGAAGGAAGGGAGGGAGGGAGGGAGGGGGAGAGGGGAGGGAGGGAAGAAAGCAACAACTAGGCAAACTGGAAGACCCTTAGCTCCCAAAACATTGTCTGTTTTGCAGTACCCTGGGGAATGTGATATAGTCAGTTTGGCTCAATCCTTGGCTGAACTCCTTGGTAGGATATGTTATCTGATGAATCTATCTATACAAGATATTATGTCCTGCTGAACCCATGGGATAGCCTTGGCCTTAAAGTGTTTTCTTTTTCCTGTTGCTAATGCCTCTGAAGTCTCTTGACATTACAACATAGTTCAAACAATGAGTGGCAGAGACTATTGTGTCAGGATGTAGTGACCTGATTAGTCTAAATTTCTGCAGGAGAGACATGCGGATAGATGTGCCCCAACAGGACCATGTGGGATTGAAATCTTTTCTAGATGGGCCACACCCTGAATCTCCTACTTCTTTGAAAGTTTAATTTATCACTAAGCAACTCCAGGAACAGAGTTAATTTGATTTTTGTATGATTTAATTATCATAAAAGAAGAGTTTGTATGTAACTTATTAAAATATGTACATAATATAAATATATAAATATATAAAATATGTGGAATTAATGTCAAGTAAGAGCATAAAATTATCCAACTGAATTAACGCCTTTAAAAAATAGTTCCCAATGGTAATTAAGTACTCAGCTTTGTAATTTAACATTTAGGCCTAGAGCAAATAAAGCATATGAAGGGATCTGATTATTGCATTACACAATTCACCAAGCAAAGATTCTTAGAAGATTTTTAAAATGTATTTTCATTCTTTTAAAGATTTATTTTATATGTATGGGTATTTGTGTTTTTGTATGTATGTGTACCATGTGCACGCCTGGTGCTCATGGAGACCAGAAGAGGTCATCAGATCCACCTGGAAGTGGGTTGTAGATCACAATGATGGTGCTACAAACCAAACCCTGGTCCTTTGCAAGAGCAGCAAAAAGCTCTCACTTAACCACTAAGCCATCTATCCAAAACTCCCCTCCACCCCTGCCTTTTGAACAAGGTCTTGCCCAAGCCTTGAATTCCTGGCAATTCCCCTGCCTCAGCCTCCAAAGAGTAGATATTACAACTGTAAGCATGATTTTTCTCTGCAATTTTAAGTTAATGATTATTATCTAGCAAAAGCCTTTATAGAATGCTGCTTTCAATGTTATGTAGTTTTAAGATGTGAAACACAATAGTTTGAGTGAAACATTCCATTAGACACTGTGGCTACCAAAAGTAAGAGATATAGAGGAATTAAAGCAATTGTAGAACTCTATACATAAAAGATGCTTTTAAATATGATTTATCACTATGAGCATATAAATATAATTCACCATGTGGAAACAAATATAACCTGCAATAGGTTGCTCTTTGTTCAGGGGCAGAGACTATTTTTTTCCTCACACCACCCAATGAGTGATAAAGGTTTGAGTGAGTGGATCAATTAATGAATGGGAGGGAATACCATTCAGAACTAAGTTCTGGGCACTCTATTCCCCAGGCCTTCCCGTTTCTGTCTCAATGAGTGCCTGCCCAGATCATTCATGCTCTAAGTGAACAATAGGGAAAAAGGAGGTAGTCCAGATGGTAGCCTTTCTGTGGTCAGATGTCTCTGAAATGAACAAAGTATTTGCAGATGTTTCAGCAAGTGGAGAGGCTGGGCCATACCTAGGCCATAGGAAACAACTTCCACACCTTGAGGCTACTACAATAAAGGTATCATCACTCATCTGGACAGGATTCTGTTGGAAACTTGAAAAGCACTCAGGGTTGGAATGCTGCATGAATCCAGACTTGCCTCAGGAATGCCACCAGGGCTCAGATCTGAGTATAGAAATTAATGCGATTTGTAAAAAATAGCCACCAGGATCATCGCTTATCTGGAAATCAGATCCTTTAATCACTGTAGACAGGACTAATGAAAGTAGAAGAAACCATCATTGATTTTGAGAGTCTCCTCCTAAATTAGTTGGCCTTTGGCTTTTGGAGAGCAAAGTTCAGATTCCAGTTCCTGTTCAACAGGAAAGTAAGTCAGACACTAAGTGGAGTCTTTTAGATTCCAGACTGAAACAGTGGACACAATGGAAGTCTAAGTCTTGAAGAAACCTTCTTTTGAGAGTTGCTGAAGTCACCCCCCCACCCCCGCCCCAAATGAAATATTGCTCATGGTGTCTTTGGACTTCTTTGGTTTTGGTTGGTTGGTTGATTGGTTGGTTGGTTGGTTGGTTTTGTTTTTTTTTGTTTGTTTTGTTTTGTACTGTGTCTTCTTTTTTTTTTTTTTTTTTACTTGGTTTCAGAAATATTTGTGTGTCTTTAGCCTATTTGTTTCTATCATCCAATGTAAGTTTTTATATTTTCTAATGAAAATCTTCTACAGGCTACTGGTTTTATGCATGCTATCTTCTGGAGTGTATTAACCTGCTGGCTTTATATGGGATGGTGAGTGCTGTGATTCTATGGGCTATCGCCTTAATATGATGATGCTGTACAAAGGCACCTTCAAAAGTGCAACTTATTAATTTCATGCCCCAGCCATGTGACCATCTGAGACTGCCTTCTCTTCCTCGATGTAGTAAGAATTAGGGAAAGGTTTTGCTTTTAGGTGAAAACGAGTTTGTTTCCTCAAACAATGAGAATGCATGACAACACTAAACTTGTTCCCTAAAATTTCAAAGTTAAAGAACTTAGTATAGATAGCACTGCTGTGGACACGTAGCCCACAACGACAGGCAAAGGAAGGGAAAAAGAACTGTCACTGTTACTAAAACTGACCAGCATATGTGGAGAAAGAAAAATTCATTAGTACTAACATCATTGGAGAATTATACTCATGTTGCTGCTCTAAGTGAACTGTCCTTTTTGAATTTTGGAATTCAATATATGACGCCAATTGATAGTATGGCTGCAAATGTTTTTGTCTGATTTTAGAACCCAAACTCTCAGAGATGTAGTAGATTGAGGGCTAGTGACTGATGCATAGAATAAGAGTCACTGAGATTTTAGGATTAGATCCTTACCTGCAATAGAATAGCAAATTATTAGTACAATTCTATTGCAGGTATATAATCTTGGTCTGAAGATACAGCAGTGAATAAGACAGATGTGTTCTCTTGCTCCAATCACAACAGAGAAGCTGGAACCAGGAAGGAGCCTGCAGAGTTCTAATTAAAACAGCTCCCATCAATCAAATGCTAACTCTGTATCAGGCCTTCAGTGTTTCACCTGCATTAAGTCATACAATCTGCCCTAAGTAATAATAAGTTAGACATGCCACCCCTGAGGTCTCCTGGCTCCTCTCAACTGCCTCATTTTCTCTGCCCAAAGGGACAGTGACTTCTCTGCTTGGAAAGATGGCATTTCATATGTAATCCAGCCCTCTCCCTTCTTTCTGTTCTGTTTTGGGGAACACATTTGGGGATGGCCCTGGGCTATCAGCAGTGGGCATTTGCTCAGAGCTCTGCACTTCCAGGTCCTGTGGAGCATAGGATCTGGAGGAGGCCTCTTCACATTTTGTGTTTGCATAGCTGAGTATCCTACTAGGATTTAAAATTTGGAAGCCGAATTTTGCATAGATATCAGCTTTCTCCTTAGTCAGTCGGGGACTGTATGTATTCCCGTAAGAGAGAAACATTTTAAAAAATAAAAGAAGCAATTGTATACTATCAAAAATGAACCATCTAAATACCATTCAAATTCTATCCAGTCGGGAGGACTGAGCCTCACATTCGCCTGTCACATAACCTAGGAAACAGTCTTAAGATAACATTGACACCACCTTCACGGCTTTTCCTCAATTCCTACAATTTGTAAAACTGTGATGTCCAGCCATTGGGCTTTTTTGGGGGGAGACAAGTAGTGAAATGAAAAGCACATGGAATTTATGGGATTGGAAAACCTAGATTTGAGTCCATTCTGCGTAAGTCTTTAAAATTTTGAACCACTTGTTTGTTTGCTTTTCTTAACACTATACAGGGCTTAACTAAGTTGGCAAGGCTGTTGAAGGATTAGTGACTGATCAAACCACAAGGTCCAGCAGATAGTTCCATGGATAATGGCATCTGCTGCCAAGCCTGATGACCTTAATTTGAAATTGTGCCTAAAAGTTGTCTTCTGACCTGCACACATATACTTATGCTCAAATACACACAACACATACACACTAAATGTAATAAACAACTTGGATTTTTAAAAGGTTTAATTGGTTTTGTATATGTATGGGTGTTTTGCCTGTCTGCACACTACATGTGTACCTGGTGCCTTGAGGTCAAAATATGGTATCTGGTACTGTGGGTTACAGATGGTTGTGAGCTGTCTTGTAGGTACTGGGAATCAAACCCAGGTTCTCTGCTAGAGCAGTGTGGTGGTTTGAATGAGAATGCCCCCATGGGCTCATATATTTTAATGTTTGGGTCCCAGTTTATGGAACTGTTGGGATGAATTAGGAGGTGTGGCCTTGTTGGAGTTGTGTCCCAGTGGATGAGTTTTGAGATTTCCATTTAATTCTAACTCTTCTTCAACTTGCAAATAAGATGCAAGCTCTCAGCTACTAGTCCATGCCTGCCTGCCTGCTGCTGAGCTCCCCAGCATGACAGTCATAGACTCACCCTCTGGAACTGTAAGCTCCAATTAAAGTCTTCCCTTTAAAGTTGCCTTGGTCATTGTGTCTCTTCAGGACAATAGAAAGGTAACTAAGACAAGTAGCACTCACTCTTCCCTGCTGAGTCATCTTTCTAGCCCTTGTTGTATGGGTTTAAAGGAAAATCCTTCAATAATAGTTCAGTGTTACTGTAACTCTTTAACTTGACTTTATACATGCATAGCTGAAGAGTTAGTGGCTGGATGGTTCCTGTTTAAAGGCTGACAATCACTCTGCCCACTAAGCTCTTTGTCTGCCAACTAACATTTTTTTTTTTAATTATTTTATGTGGATGTGTAGGGAGCTGTCCCTGCATTCTCCATTACAAGATGGCGCCTGCATCCGGCAGGCACTGAATGGTAAACAAGTTAGTGCACAGGCGCTGGGTAACTTTCCATCCCTTGGTCTCTGCCTCTCCCGTGGCGTCATATGGTCTGATGAGCTGCAGCCAGTCAGGGGGTGACACGTCTGAGGCGGCGGTTGCCAGCCTATATAAGGGATGGGTTTTTGGGAGTTCGGGGTCTCCGCTCTGTAAGCTTATGCTCTCCCTCTCAAGATGCATTAAAGCTTTACTGCAGAAGGATCCTGAGTGTCCTGCGTCGTTCTTGCTGGCGAGACGGTAGCGCGGGACATGAATGTGTGAATGCGGGTGCACACATGACAGCGTTTGTGTGAAGGTCAAATTGACAGAAGTAAGGTCCCCTTCCACTGTGTGAAATCAGGGGATTGAACATGGGTTTTCAGGCTCCAGAGTAAATGCTTTTACCTGCTAAGCCATCTTGCCAGTCCCTAACATAACTTATGTTTTAGAAACCTCTTTCCCATTGCTGTTTCCATCGATGTTGGCAACCTTTTCCTTTAAGCAGTCTCTGTCCCGATGACTTCCTTTCGAGAGGGTTCGTAATAGGCTTTCCCTCTAAGAAATAGCATTAAGATGCTCAATAACTGGATAAGGAAACTCTAAAGGTAGGTAATGGGTACAGAAGAGTCTAAGCTATAAGCTTCAACCAAAGTATCAAAAAGACTACTGAGGGAGCTGACGGTGAAGAGCAGCTTGTTCAATTGATGTCTCTTTTATGGTTTATTTTAAGGCTTTCACTCTCTGATGCATTAACCACAGCTCAACGTGAGGATTAAAGGAAATGGATTCAATGCTGCTTCTGCAACCATCTAGTTTTATGTGTTTACCAATTTAACTGTCTTTCTGTTTTGTTTTTCTTTTAATATATAAAATGAAGTCTGGACAAATGTTCGCTAAAATTATTTCAACAACAAATATTCTAGAATGCTAGCTAAGATGCTATGTATAGTCTTCCCGGTCCACAGTGTAAGTCTTATCTTCTCCCAGGCAACAAACTATTGAAAGACATCCATGTACTAGAAGTGGCAATAGTAGTAATAACAGTAGTAGATGTGTGTGTGTGTGTGTGTGTGTGTGTGTGTGTGTGTGTGTACCACAGCAGTAAAAAGATTACAAACCAGAGAGAAGCCTTTCCTTAAAATTAATAGTAATAAGAAGAAATTTCACACTATCACATTTGGACACTTCTACTTATTTGCAAAGGAATCACTCCTCCAGAAGTTGTATCACTTATAGTTGTATTCTGATTCGTTCAGTTAGGATAAAAGAATTCTTGAACCAGCTGGGCGTGGTAGCACCTACTTTTAATCTTGGTTCTTGGGAGGTGGAAGCTGGATGATAATGAGCTTAAGGTCTTCCTCAGGTGCTTTGGAATTTGAGGACAGTCTGGGTTATAAACAAAGAACAGAATAAAAGCTGAAATCTTCAAGATCTCACACCAGCATTTAAAGGAGGCCATAAGTATGAAGACACGGGCTTTGGAAAACTGTTTTAATAAGGAAACAGATGAAGTATGCTCAACTGTTAAACTTTGAAGATTCATTCTTTTTATTTTCAATTATGTGTATGTGTTCATGAAGGCATATGCACACTAGTGTGGGTGCCCTCTGAGGCCAGGGGTTCTAGATATGCTGGAGATACAGGCAGTTGTGAACTGGGATCCAAACCTGGATACTCTGCAAGAGACTCTTAACTGATAAACCATCTCTCCAGCCCTATTAAGTCTAAAGATATTTTTTCTCCTATATGTGTAGGATTGTCTCTCCATGTTTCCCTATATGATGGTAATTCTGTTCATTGTGTAAGCAGGTTTAGAGAAAGGAATAGCAGCGGTGAGCTGCATGACCTGAGACGTTAAGAACAAATCAGTTTAAAGACAGGGATCCATGATTCATTATAATCATGAGAATCTATCAAAAACAAACCATACCTACATATTTGTGTAGGTTATTAGATGTCTCTTAGACCTAGTAAGAAAATTCCTAAGAACTACAAATAATAATACTATCATTTTCTCTTGTTTGTATAAATGACCTAACCCCATTACTGTTTTCTTCTAAAAATGACCACTGCTGTGTGGTGGTTTGAATAGGAATGGCCCCAATAGGTTCATATATTTGAATACTTGGTCATAAGGGAGTGGTGCTACTTGACAGGAATTAGGAAGTATGGCCTTGTTGGAATAGGTGTAGCTTGGTGGAAGCAGTGTGTCAGTGTGAGTGGCAGTTTCAAATGTTCAAGCCATGCCCAGTGCTTTCTCTTCCTGTTGCCTGAGGACCCAGACGAAGAACTCTCAGCTCCTCCAGTACCATGTCTACCTGCATGCTGCCATGCTTCCTGCCATGTTGACAATGGACTAAAGTTCTAAAACCACAAGCCAGCCCCAGTTAAATGTTTTCCTTTATAAGAGCTATTGTGGCCATAGTGCCTCTTCACAGCAATAGAACACTGACTAAGACATGCTATCAGAACAGAACACTGCAACCAGTACCATAAGACTAAAGATGGAAAGCTAAGAGAAAACCAAGGGGCTTTGGGGAAATGATTCACAAGTGTCTTAGTTTAATAAAAACAAAACAAACAACAACAACAACAAAAACCATCATGACCACAAACAATCTGGGGAGAAAAAGTTTTATTTGGCTCTTGCTTCCACATCCATATCCCATCACTGAAGGAAGTCAGGACAGGAACTCAGAAAAGGCAGAAATCTGGAGACGGGAGCTGATTCAGAAGTCATGGAAAGGTACTGTTTACTGACTTGTTCCTCAGGGCTTGCTCACCCTGCTTTTGTACACAACCTGGGAACACATGCCCAGGGGTAGCACCACCCACATTAGGCTGGCCCCTCCCACATCAGTCACTAAGAAAATGCTCTACAGGTTTGCCTATAGCCCAATCTTAAGGAGGCATCTTCTCAACTGGGGTTCCGTCCTCTCAGATGATTCTAGCCCATGCCGAGTTAGCATAAAATTAGTTAGCACAACAGCTATGTATGAATAGTCTTGCAAAGGAGCTGAGGCTCAACTCTTGGTTCCACTAACTGTTCATTTGACCCCCTCTGGCTTTTATTTTTTTTTTTTTTGAAATAAAGCTGTGAAAAATGAGGCTGATTCCTACTTTTCAGTTGTGAGAAATCATATAAATATGTAAGTATCTAACAATCTACAAAGCACATGCCATAATTTTTTATTTTGTTTTGTTTTATATTTGCAAATTATGTTTGGGTGGGCCTAATTTCTCTCCTTGCTCTTTTTTTAAAAATCTAAATTACATTTATGTATTTGTCTGGGGCAGGGTATGTATTTGATGGCACAGTATAGAGGTTGGAAGCCAAGTTTCCAGAGTCAGTTCTCTGTAGCTTCCTGGGATCAAGCTCATCATCAGACTTGATGGTATCAAGCATGAGGACCAGAGTTTGTATCCTCAAAGGCAAAGTGTAGATGAGTAGAAACAGGTTAAATTAAGTTAAAGGAGCTAGTGGGACACCCCAAGCTAAAGCTGAGCATTCATAATCAATAAGTCTCTGTGATTTTATTTGGCAGCCCAAAGAAAAATCCAACTGCAGGTGTGTGTATCTGTGTGTGTGTGTGTGTGTGTGTGTGTGTGTGTGTGTGTGTGTGTCTGTGTATTATAAACATGTGCTCATGAGGCCAGAAGAGGTTATCTGGTGTCCTGCTCCATAGTTGTCAGCCTCATTCCTCTCAGACAGGGTTTCTCACTGAACCTGAAGTTAGGCTGTTGTCCATCAGGTTTCAGCAATCCTCTCTCCCTATCTCCCCACCCAACAACTGAGTTATAGGTACATATAAAGCTATGCTGAGCTTGTTTTTTTTTTTTTTAACTTGGAGTCTAGGGTTCAAAATCGGTGTCTGCAAGCTTTTTCAATAAATGCTCTCATCAACTAAGTCATCTTTCCAGTCCCCAGGCTATATTCTAAGACCACCTTGGAAAAATACTCATGGTCTCTGTGGTGATTGAATAGGAATGACCTTCCTAGACTCATGTATTTAAATGCTTTGCCCATAGGGAATGGTACTATTGGGCAGTGTGACCTTGTAAGAGTGGGTGTGGCCTTACTGGAGGAAGTGTGTCACTGTGGGGGCAGGCTTTGAAGTCTCAGAAACTCAAGTTAGTTCTCTTCCGGCTGCCTGAGGATCAAGATGTAGAACTCTCAGCTCCTTCTCCAGCACCATGTCTTCCTGCATGCTGCCATGTTTCCTGCCATGATGATATTGGATTAAATCTCTAAACTGTAAGCCAGCCCCAATTAAATATTTTCCTTTATAAGAGTTGCTGAGGTCATGTTATCTCTTTACAGCAATAGAAACCCTAACTAAGAAGGTCCTCATTATGGAATATTTTTAAAAGTTAAAATAATAACACACACACACACATACACACACACACACACACACACACACACACACACGAGAGAGAGAGAGAGAGAGAGAGAGAGAGAGAAAGAGAGAGAGAGAGAGAGAGAGAAACTGGGATATAACTCATTCGAAGACTCCTTACTGATGTTCCTGAGGCTCTTGTTAGATCCCCAGCACACTAAAAGAGAAGGATTATTAAAAGCTGTAAGAAGTTAAAAGAAATAACAGAGAAACAAAAACAACAGAGGAAACTCAGATCTTTGCATTGACACTTAGCTATATTACCAGTCTATTATCAGATTCCTCTGAATCGTTTTCATGAAAATTCTAATCAACCCCAAGACTTCCTTTGCACAACTCACCTAATTGAAACAATTTTTTTTAAATTAAAATTCCCTATTTTAGGCTTTTTCCAGGCTGCCAAATTCCTACTCATTTTTCAAGGCTCCACTTAAATGCCCTTGTTGAGGCAACACATGTAAAACACTCACTGTGTACCCAGCATTTTACTAAGTGCACTGCTTGACTTATTTTATTTTCCGGGGTTATCAACCCCAGAAAATAGGCATGGTCAACTCATTTGTACAAATGTTCAAATGAAGAATCAAGTCACTTAACCAGAAAAAAGCCA